TATATAAATATATATATTTATAAATATATATATAAGTATATATATTTAAGATGGATGTAAGATCTTGGATTCTATTCAACACTTCCATTATTGAGTTGATGGACAAGAATGTGTGTTTATTAAATATACTGGCAATGCAGAATGGGGAGAGATGCTCAGTCCTTGGGAGAACAAGAATAAAAATCCAGATTGGCTGGATGTGTTGGAGAAAGTGTAAAAATAAGATGAAATTCATTCTTGGCCTATGTGGAATGATGTATTCAGGGAGGGATAATAGACTGGTAAAAATCCATGGGGCAAGACAAGTGGATAGGAGGTAGTTGTAGCTGTACAGTAAATGGGATACTGGAATAGATGGCTTCAGAAGGTGTCAGCCAGCACAACTGGAAGTCATCGGGAGGACTTTGAGGAGACATCTGTCAAGGATATAAAGATATTTAGTCTGCCTTAAGGCACATGGATGGACCACATGATGCACTGAGGTTGATTCCAACGCCATTTTCATATGGTTTATACAAAAAATTCTCTTTAACTTTTTTGATATCACTAGTTTGTATTTTCTAGGACAAAAGTGTGATAGAAAAAGCTGGACTTGCAAAATCGGTTAGAAAAATAAAAATTAAGCCACTGCAGTACTGTTTGAAAATTGAGTTTTCATGAGTTTGTGTGAGTGTAAGCCTTTTGATTAGCTGTGGGTAGCTGCCTTACATTCAGTGTCTTGGGCTGAACAGTTGGGAACCGAGCTACAGCTTCATTCATACACTGAACCCGTATAGTGTGGTATAGATACACACATATGTACAGATGTATAAAAAAAACTTGTTTAACAGCTCCAGTTAACACTGATCCACACTAACAATGGACAGTGAAGTTTACAAAGAATGTGTAATATGAAATGCAATTTGTCCTCTGTAAAACATGGCTAGAAATCAAATAAAACTGATGTTCAGCCTGTAGCTGAGTTGCTTTATGGCTGAAATCACCAGGCCTTATATTTTCACTCGTTCACTGGAACTGTTTTGTGTGGCGAAAAATGCTGCATCGAGGAGTTGTCACATCCAGAAGAGTTTACTGCTTAGCAGGGTTGGCCACGTATATTTTATCTTCACCATAATATAAAAATGGCATATCACGATTTTGCATTACAGGGAATGAGGTTACTGTTTCTGTATCTTTAAAACATCCCAGCAAATTAAATGTCTTTTCTTACATCTTGTGCTAGGATTTTTGCGGTTCAGAAATGAATTGCTTTTCCTTCCCAATATTTCTATAAATCACAGATGCCCACAAGGTATTTGAGTTATAAAAGGAGAAGTAATTCATCTGATGTGCAATCATATAGCGTATGTCCTAAAGCAGCACTTTGAAAAATGACTAGCATCTATATTAATGGTGTGGTTTTTCCCCAAATTCACACACCCGTGTCTGTCTTTGTGCATCTCTAACATCACTTTGTATGTTGGCACGGAAAGATTGGGATTACAGGTAAATAAAAATACCGTGTCTCCAATTACACTTTGCTTACTGGGTTTTAGATGAACGTGTGAAAACTCTGTAATTATTTTGGGCCGCTAATACAAAGCTTTTACCTTGAAAACAAATCAAGGCTGTTTTTAAATGTCTCCCTCCATAAACTACATGGGGTGTGCTCACAACAGTGCTCATTTCTTGAGTTGAGGTGGGTGCTGGCTGCTTGTAGAGGGGTTAATGTTGTAATAAATTTTACAAATTAAGTTTCCCTCTGGCGTGCACATGATAAAAATTTAGTAAGACTCTGGGTTTTGGGTTAAGTGAGAAGAGCAAAAATCAGCCTTTTGGCCAAAGGCAGGTTTCAGTTTAACCCCCCACACATGACTACCTGTAGTTCATGGTTACCAGAACCAGGCGTCCAGGTTGGCAGTTAGACTTGGTTAGACAGAAGATACCTGGTTGTTCGTGTGTTCCCTCTCTTTCCTGCTCCCTTCCTGTCCCATTCCCCCGCCTTCCCCCCTCCAGATCTTTTAGTAAACATAAGAATTTTGTACACAGATTTATTCTCTTTTTAAATGTCATCGTCTTTGAGAAATTCTGTGGTGACATCTGGCACAGTCTATTTTGATACATCTTGTTTGAGCATAGAGCACATACGAAAAGTGCATCTGCAGGATAGAAATAGAAGAGATAACCAGTGTTCATTTGGCAACGTAACATTTTGCCATTTTTTCATTGTAGTCCTTTAACACGTTGCACATGATGTACCATGAGGCCACGGCTTGCCATGTGACTGGAGACCTGGTAGAACTTCTGTCTATTTTCCTTTCGGTTCTGAAGTCAACACGTCCATATCTTCAAAGAAAAGGTTCGATTATAACTCTTCAATGGATTATGCCTGTTGTCTGTTTGTTAATTTTTCATGACCCAAAACCTTAGTGGTTTATCTTGCGTATTATCTCTGTTTAAAAACTTTCCATACAGTAGGATATAAGATTATTAAGTTATTAAATTGTTATTTATTAAATTTATTGACTTAATACAAAAGCAGATAAGGAAATTTAATAGCAACAGACCAGTGAGATTTAATAGATTTCCAGATCGATTAAAATCATGTCAGAGAAAAAAGAGATTCAGCAGCAGCAAAATGCTGTGCTTTATTTGAAGAGCTTTTGAGGATGGAACGGAACAGATGTCTCTGTGTTTCGCGTTTGCAGATGTGAAGCAAGCTCTCATTCAGTGGCAGGAGCGAATTGAGTTTGCCCATAAGCTCTTAACTCTGCTGAATTCCTACAGCCCTCCCGAACTCCGCAACGCTTGTATTGGTAAGTCGTGGCAGCGTAACCGCAGTCAGGAAGGGCCTGTTCTGTGCAGGTACCTGCTTGGAGATTTAAACTCCGTTTTCGCAAGTGCAAAAGATACTGGGTAACTCTGGAGACTGGGATTGCTCATATTACCGTCCTCAATACATCAGTAGTGCCATTGTTCCCGTCCTAAATAATTCCTGGTGTGTCCGGTTCAAATTAATATTCCTACTTCCCCAGGCGTGCAGGCTGTCTGCACAAAAGTCAGCCTTCGTTTTCAGTGACCAGTTTGCCACCTGATGAAGGAATAACTCCTGAATTCAGGTGTCAGAGAGTTTAGAATCCAATCCCAAATCTTACCTTAAAATACAAACATGAAGGATGCGTGGTGACCAAGGCAGTCTGACCAACGGCTTTTCGTGTTCGTTTTTGCGATCCATTCGTCAAAGGTGTAATAGCAAAAGCAAAGCTTCAGCAGCTTGTACAGTTGCATGGATTTGCTTTTTAAAATTGTAGGCGTGGACATTATGTAAGTGTCTCTCTTGCTTTAGAAGACCTATTTCAAAAAGTTTTTCTCATCTAATTTTTTAAATGTTATTTAATGGATATAATCTGCATTTTTATGCATGCTGCCCAAGGCCTAAAACTGTCTCCAAATTACTTTTTTTTGGTGTGATTTGAATGCATTTCCCCCTTATTTTGAGTGTCTTTCTCGTTGTCCTCCTGACTGCTGCTGGTTGACGTTTTCCAGGCATCAAACCTGCTATATTTAAGAAGAAAGAAAGAGGGTAATTTTATTGAGCTTCTACTTTCTGACACCCCTCTCACTGGTGGTTGATCTACCACTGAGCAGGTTTTCTCCCAGTGGTAGAGGTGAAGGGAATCTTGGTGGATTCAGGGGTGTTCACTTTCCGTGCCGTTCACAGTAGAGCCCACCTCCACGGGGCACGCGAAGTGCAGCAGAAGTGGTATGAAAGAGGGTTTGCAAATGCATGAGCCTTAAGTTAAACTGTTTGCTGTTAAGAAATAACAATGTGTAATAGCAACAACAACTTTTTGTTTGTAGATGTCCTCAAGGAGCTTGTACTTTTAAGTCCTCATGATTTCCTACATACTCTGGTTCCATTTCTACAGCACAATCATTGTACATACCACCACAGTAATATCCCAAGTAGGTATTTCAGTGATTGTATTTTGAAGTTCTCTTACACTGTTATTACTCTCTCGTGTTCCTTGCTGATGTCAAATATTGACCTTTTTAATATATCCCTATTTTATCCTAACTTATACTACAGTGTCTCTTGGACCTTATTTTCCATGTCGTGAAAATTTGAAATTAATAGGGGGAAAAAGCAATATTCGTCCTCCACGTCCCGAACTTAACATGTGCCTCTTGCCCACCATGGTGGAAGCCAGCAAGGTATGTAAATGTATGGTCTTACAAATAGCTGCTTCTCCGTTGTTTTCCCTTCGGATAAAAGTCTGACGAGAATCCAGTAGCGTAACGCATCTACGTTTTCTTTGTAAACAAAGCAGAATTCTTCTTCAAGATGTGTTGTCCTCATATACTCCATTCTAGATGTGCACTCCAGAAGCACCGTTTCCCTGCCCTTGGTGATACACACCTTCATATTCTAGACATGATAAGGGTTTGAACCTTGTGTTCAGATAAAAAAAAACAAACCACAGATTTTTATCATCGTCCAATCTGTTTGTGGCATTTATAAAGAAAATTCAGGAACTGCCCCGGGGATTGTCCGGATGGGTTTCGAAGTATGTCCAGATTTATTACCAGACAGCTAAATAGATCGTCCAGGTTTCATTAGAGTCCGTTCCAGCGGGGCTGAGGCATCATCTGCTGATTGTTTGGGTAAAATACCTGTACCTGAAATGCTGTCTAGGGCTTTAAGGCTTTTACTTTCCATTTTCCCTTCTGTGGGCTTCCTGATGGGATGCCAGCTTCGGTGGGGCTACTTCGTAGTCACTTGCCACGTCCCGTTATCACAGTTGCAGCAGCGGTGGGATTCAGCTCACATGACTTTGCCTATCTAAAAGGTCAGTGTCCAGCTCTTCCTGTGGTGACAGGCGATAAACAGTTACCTCGGAAGGAGACAAATGATCACCCTCCTTCGTGTCCGAGACACCTGAGTCCAGGTGAGGTGACTCTTCCTCTGGAGGAGTCTGTCTCTCTGTCCACTGACTGCAGGGAACAGTGAAATGACTAGATTTTAGATAGCTAAAGTCAGGTAAGGTGAATCCCACCCGAAAAGGAATATGTATGGACAATCATTTGAAGAAGGAAAACTGGTTACTTGCTGTACAGTAACTGTGGTTCTTCAAGATGCTTTGTCCACACAGATTCTGTGGTCCTCCCCCTGTGCTAACTCCGAGTCCTGTCATAGGGGATTCTTATCGGTGAAGGAATTGAGTGGTGGTTGAAGCCGCCATACCCCTTATGCCCTCAGGTACAGTGGTCGCAAGGACACACTGGGTGCAGGCACAGCCCCAGTGGACACTGCTATTCAGAAAGAATCCAATCTCCTGCACATGGGGCCTATGTGCACGTAGATGGGAATCTGTGTGGGCAACACATTTCGAAGAAGCACGGTTACTGTAGGGTAAGTAACCCTTCTTTTTTAAAGCTTTCAAAACGATGCTTTGTATATTTGTGCACCCTCAAATCTTATGTAAAACCAAAGTTTGTTAAAAACCATAGAGAGCCAGGAATGATCTGTAGTGCTTTTTTACGTCAGGGATCCAGAGGTAATGGACGTGACACTAAATAATGCAAATGTTGAACTTAGAGAGTTGTCATATTATATGACACAGTATTTTACACTTTATAATGAATTCATATACATTAGGAGCCAGAGGATTTTTAAGCCTCTAAAATAAAACCACATCCACAGTCACGTTTCCCTGTGGTTTTGCATGCTTATTTTGCATTCGTTTGTTTCGTATAAGATTACATTTGTTTGCTCGAGCTTTTGAGGTTGGCTATCTGGTTTACAGAGGCTGATGCCATTTTAAGTGTGTACATCCAAAAAGATACCAAAATATTGACACACAAAGCCCTCGGCGTGTATTTATCATTTGGTTTGAGACATTCCTGAAAATACTGCTTTGAAAGCTTGTGAAGTTCGGTCTTGAGAAAATTCTGCAGATTAGGAACTGACAAACTAGGATTTAAAAAGCAGTGGTGTGTACGTGTGTGTGGGTATCTGTACATGATTTTACATTACTGCATTCTTTTGTCACCTTCAAGGCGTGGTATTCACGCAGCTTCTCAGGCTGTTGATTCAGAATCCTACCACAAAAGTGTTCACTGGTGGGGGAATTGCGTTTGCCATCCCTCCTCCCGTCTCGCTACTGTGCTTGCCAAGGGCTCGGTGAGGAGACGCAGCTGGCCTGGGTTAGACCTGGAAATTCCCGTCGTGTTTTCCTGTAGGATTTGATTAAATGTTTTAGGGAGAGGTGCAGTAACATTAAGCTAGGTGTGCAGGAAATCTGGTTGCTGTCCCATTGCTTATGTAGTTTAAATGAAGCTCTCTTAAATCTTCAGGGCAAAGATGATGTTTACGATCGTATGCTGCTAGACTACTTCTTTTCTTATCATCAGTTCATCCACCTGCTATGTCGAGTTGCAATCAACTGTGAAAAGTTTACTGAAACTTTAGTTAAAATGAGTAAGTATGAAGGTTAAACAGCCTAAGGATTTTTTTTTTCTGTGCTAACTGTGCGTGCTTCTCCACTAGGCTTTATATTCACATTTTTTTAAAAAAAGCAGAGCTTGTGAAACTTGCTGCATTAATCGTTCTAGATGTTATTTTTATCCCCAAAATTGTATGACATGTAAAATGTAGTGCAATCTTATCTCTGCCACTGTTGCGCTTCAGGCCTGTCCAGGAAGGAGCTGAGGCAGTCGGTGAGATTTCAGTCTCCTTGCACATCTGGAGTTTAATACAGGACTCGCTGAGGCTTTTTTTGTGGTGTTCTTTGGCAGTTTAAATGGCTTTGGGTCAGGTCTTGGACTCTCAGCGTCTCTGCCAATGGCATTGACAATCTGCCCGGGAGCACACATGACCATCTAGACAGCCACAGACGGCACCAGTTCAGTTGTTACCAACCCAGGTTTATTTTAGCCCAGTTTTGGGAACCATTGCAACTTTTAATTCAGTTTATAACCATTCAGTCGTGTAGTTTGTACCCAATGCTTGTTTCAGTTCTGCCAGTAGATACCACCAGTATTGGGGCTTCTTTCTGTCACAATGTAAACCTATTTTTTGGTGAGTGAACAAGGCGTTCGTGACCTGTCTGCCTACTGCAGCCGTTCGCTGGTTCTCTGTAGGACAGCGTCCCGCCTTGAATTGCCCTGTGAAGTCCACGTGCTGCTCCAAAGGCACGTTTTGAGGTTTTTCTTAATTTTGCCTTCCACCACAGACCCTTGCATCAGCGGAGTTACCCGGTGCAGTGGGTGCAGATGCACAAACCTCAGTGTCACACAACTAGTGGCCACATGGACATGCAGACCGGGAGCCGTCTCACTTCAGTTGTCTATAAATATGGTTAAATACGACTTCTAGACCAACAGAACTGTACAAAATTAACCTTGTCTAAAGAGCAATGATTTCAGAACGTTCTTTTGATCCGCAGATTGCCCATTTGCTCGTTGTTTGTCACACTTCTGATTGTAACTCTAGTGGTTTTAGTATTTACTCTAGGTTATATTAGTTGCAGAGCATTCTGGGAATATGTATCACTTGCTATTGTTTAGCGTATCCCTTAACTCTTTCTAGATAACAATGGTGCTTGGGATAATACTGAAGATGACCCTTTAAAAATTACACGCTGTTTTAAAAAAAGATAGTTAAAACCTTTAAGTGCTGTAGCTGACCAGCTGAAAATGTAAGACAGCAATAAAATAACCTGATTACAAACCCAGAACTAAAGCCAGCTCTTTAGGTTTTTACATTTCACAGAAATACTGACGAGATACATGTATTTATTAAATGTACTGTAAAAACTTCACAGATGATAGGTCTTTCTGATTATAAAAAATGCTTGGAATGTGCTCTGGTAAAATGATATGGCACTTTGGTACTGCTTTTATCAGGAAGCGCGTATCTCCAACAAAATTCCACACAGTAACTTATTTTCTCGTAAAATTTCAGGTGTCCTAGTTGCATATGAAGGTTTGCCACTTCATCTTGCGTTATTCCCCAAGCTTTGGACTGAGCTCTGTCAGACTCAGGTAAGAGTCAGTGGTTTCGAAATCTAACAGGATGGAAACACAGGCAAAACAGGATGAATGTGGAACGAGATTCACCTGTCACTTGTAACCAGTGGCTGTTGTTAATCGTTCACAGTACGAGTAATGTGACTAGAAAATGCCTCTGCTCATGTTGCCTGTCATCTGATAAAACCCGCTAAACTAAGTACAAAAACCTAGCAAATTGTATTCGATCCCAGCGCGCCCTGGAAAAACTTACACACTTCACACAGTACGCAATATTGGCAGGATGGCCGCCTGTGCGGGGTCCAAAAATTGCTTCATCCTGCCTCTGTGAATTTCCAGCCTTTCATTGTAGTGTAAATGCTGGTATGATGAAGTAAAGATTGGGAAGTCTTTTAAGTCAAGGTGTCGTCGTGTGCCCACTGCCAGGAGAGGGGCCTTTGCCCCTTCAGATACACACTGATCGTGATAAACTGGCAGTCCCACGGAATAAACCTCATAAAAGGAAAATGTGAAATACTAATGGACAATAATTAATTTGTACAGTTTACTGATACCTGACACACCTGAAATATTTTTATTGACAAGAATGGTCCAGTATGAATGAAGCAGCTGGGTGGGCCTGGCAGGTGTCTCCGGCGGAGGCCGCCGTCGCAGGCAGCGCTGCCGCAGTGCCGGGCCTCCAGCAGTGACTTGGTGGCGTTCTTTCTCTCTTCACCAGTCCGCAATGTCCAAGAACTGCGTAAAGCTGCTCTGTGAAGATCCGGTTTTTGCAGAATACATAAAGTGTATCCTGATGGATGAAAGGACCTTTCTTAACAACAACATTGTATATACCTTTTTGACTCATTTTCTTCTAAAGGTAGGTGGTCTTTTAGCGGTAATTCCCATTTCAAGAATTGCAGTCATATGCCGTTTCATTTTGAGATACTGTTTTCACAGTTCCATGTTTTGTGGTTTAAAAAAAGTATGTTTTTTTCACAGGTCCAAGGGCAGGTGTTTTCTGAAGCAAACTGTGCCAACTTAATCAATACTCTAATTACAAATCTAATAAATCAATATCAAAGCCTAGAATCTGACTTCAGCAACCAGAGAGTTGAAATTTCCAAAGCAAGCTCTACTTTGAATGGGGTGAGTCTTTTCTAAGCTGTTCAAATATCGGCTCGTTTAGGAGGCACTTTATTTTCTCTGGAAACTCTTCAGTGCCGTGTGCCAGGCTCTAATGAAGGAGGTGGGCGTTGTTAGCTCTGCTTTGTGTGTAAGTGGGACTCCTGGTGAGCGCATGGGAAGCTGACTTCACTGGCTGGGGGGAAGCATTAGCCCCTACCAACAAGACAGTCATAAATTTACAGAGCAGCAAGCTGAGCTCTTCACAATTCTCCGTTCCACACGCACACGTTCTCCCAGCATGCACAGAATACGTGCTTGGTCTCCCAAGCTGATGGTGGGGACCATAAGATTAGGGGAGCGGCTTATTTTGGGGGGAAAAAGGTAATGCAAAGTGCAGTGGAGTTAATCGTAGAAATGTTCTAACCCAGCAAAAGATTTCGTCTTACAGTGAGCAGCACGGTATTGTCATCTGCTTAGGACAGATCTACGTTAAGGCCAGCAAATTAGTAGTGAGTGAGGAATTTCAGTAGTGTGAGTATATTTAGAATTTGATCTTTTGGATGTTCAGAACATGGTAAAGCCTCTGCTTTATTGCACAGATCTGTCTGCGTGTAGGATTAATCAAATACGAGTTTGAAATACGGCTCGTTAAGTTTGTTTACTTGTGTACTTCTAGGACCTGCGAGCACTTGCCTTGCTGCTTTCAGTGCACACTCCCAAACAGCTCAATTCAGCCCTGATTCCAACTTTACAAGAGCTTTTAAACAAATGTAGAGCTTGTCAACAACAGAGGAACTCACTACAAGAGCAAGAAGCCAAAGAAAGAAAAACTAAAGGTTTGCCTTCTCTAAGAGTGTCACTAACAGTTCTAAGGTTTTACAAATTAACGTAACACGTTGGTTTCGTACCGCTGAAGGTGGGCTGTTTCTTGGCTCCAATCCCCAACACTGCGCAAGAAATACTACTTTATTATGGAGCTAAAATTCCAGGCAATTATATGAATTCCAAATAAGTATTTATTAAGTACTGTGTTTTAACGTGGAAAAGGATAAAAACATGACCGGAAAGGCCTGTTGTTTGGATGTGTGGCACGGAAACAACACACTTTCCCTAAGTGAGTTTTCCTTTTTTTTTTTTTACAGATGATGAAGGAGCTACTCCTGTGAAGAGAAGACGGGTCAGCAGCGATGAGGAGCACACTGTAGACAGCTGTATCAGTGATACAAAAACTGAGCCGCGGGAGGCGTTGACCCCAACGAGCACTTCGGATAACGAGACGCGGGACTCTTCCATCATTGATCCAGGCACTGAGCAAGACCCTCCTTCCCCTGAGAACAGTTCTGTCAAAGAGTACAGAATGGAAGCTCCATCTTCATTTTCCGAAGACATAATGTTAGCCACACAGTCACAGCACACGGAAGATCAGTCAGGAAACGGTAAATTTGAAGAATGCAAGGAATTTAAAGACCTGCAGACTTCCAAGGATTCCATTGGAACTGAGGAGGACTCAGAGTTTCCTTCCACATCGATTTCAGCGGTTTTATCCGACCTCACAGATTTGAGGAGCTGTGATGGTCAAGCCTTACCATCCCAGGACCCCGATACTAGTTTATCAATCAGCTGTGGCCATTCCAGAGGACTTTTTAGTCATATGCAGCAGCATGACATTTTAGACATCCTGTGTAGGACCATTGAGTCTACGATTCATGTGGTCACAAGGATATCTGGAAAAGGAAACCAAGCTGCTTCTTGACATTAGATGGAGCATGTCTGCTTTTAAGTCTTTTCTTTTTTTTTTTTTTCTTCCCCCCAAAATGCTGTTTGTATAAGTTTTGCTTATTTCTGTTTTGTGCTTCAGTTTGTCCAGTGCTCTCTGCTTGAATGGCAAGATAGATTTATATGCTTAATTCTTGGTCAGGCAGAACTCCAGATTTTATTATTTTATTTTATTTTTTTTTGCATCTACCGTACACTTTCTTAAAGGGCAATCAGATAATGGATATGTTTTATGTAATTAAGAGTTCACTGTAGTGGCTTTCATTTAATATGGCTGTCTGGGAGAACAGGGCCTCCTTGCCCTGTATGATGTAATTTAAACTTATGGCATTTTTACTGTGTATAATATGGTGTCCTCTGTGCCAGTTTTGTACCTTATAATAGAGGCAGGTTGCCTCAGATCGCTGTGGTTCTTATTATCAAAATTAAGTTTACTTGTATACTAAACAACCACAAGAAATTTGATTCTGTAAAGAATCCTCTTTAGCTGTGGCCTGGCAGTATATATATGGTGCTTTATTTAACAGAATACCTGTGGAGGAAATAAAGCACACTTGATGTAAAATTAATTGTTTTATTTTTATTGACATGATCAATTGCTATTCTGTGCACTTCATTAAACTGATTGTGATGACTTTTCATTTGTTTATAATATGTCGCTTCAGTCTTTGGATTTCTCATCAAAGACAGCTTCAAAAATGAAACGGCTGCAGAGAGAAACGATGATCAAATGTACAGAACTGATGTAAATGTTGGTCCTTTTCTGGTTTATTTTGCACGAATGTTCAGTCGCGCAGTTGAGAGGGATTGGTGGTTGTTTACTTTTTTCCCAACTGTGCTGGAACCTGCAGTGGTGTCAGAAGCCAGTGGAGCTCTTCATTTAATTTCCCTCATTTTTAACCTGTGTTAAGTCCTATTTTCCTCCTGCACCGTTTGCCAACTTCCTTTTATTTCCTTCTACCCGCGCTGCCCCTGGGGTCCGCTCCATCCGGCCGCTTTCTTGATGACAACTCCACCCCCCAGAATGCTGGAATGACTTTTATCACCTTTCCCTGTCCTATTTCCTCCTGTTATTTCTGAGCAATATTCATTTCCTATGTCATCTTTCAGACTGTCAATGATACTGGTTTTAATACCTGATTAAACTCCATTTCCAACTTCATTTTCCAGTTGCTTAGCTCATTTGTTTTTCTGTCGTCTTTGTAACACATCTATCTTGGTCTTTTTTCTTCAAATTCCTTCATTCTGTCTACCATTCCATGTAGTTCAGCGTCATTTGCTTCTTCACAGTTCTGGTATCTGATGCTTTTGTGACTCCCCTTACTCTTTTTGAACCTACTCTCATTTTTTTTAACCTTCTGTAATTAATAATCCTTTCTGTCTTTAAAGTTTATACTTTATATTCCCCTCTAATAGCACTTTTATTCCTGCATTTGCAGACACTATATTGATGCTGGTGAGTGCTGATGTTGTTTTCCTTAATACTCAGACAGGAAGTAATTATGTTTCCACTCTCTTTAGGAACTGTTCTAACACCCTTTCTGATCAACTTCTCCGTAGACTTTCACTTCAGAGAAATCATCTAAGTTTCTACTCAAAAACATCTACATAACGATATCAGCCTTCCTGCATCAAGTCTTCCACGAGGCCTCCTCAAAGCTGGGTTAAGATGTCTTTAGGGAGATGCGCCCATTGATCTAAAAATCTTCAACAGATGAAGCAGCCGTTACGACCCTTTGGTGAGTAGTCTCAGCTAATTAATTACTCTTAGTTAAAACGTGCGTCTGATTTTTTCATGCTGTCTGACCTCACCTTTCAGCTACTGCCCTTTGTTGGCTTTAGCTTCTCCTACAGGATGAGATCACACCGTAGTTGTTACTGAAAAGTGGGATTCTGTCTATTGTGATGTTTTTTCTCATTATTTCAAACCCCTTTTTGAAGTGTAAACAGTATTTTAGCAATTATTTCATAAACAATAAATAATACCACCATTCTTCCGTTTCCATATTGCCAGGTGAACATTAGCCCTCTGTGTTCAGCTGTCACTGACTATCAATTAAGTCCTTTAAGTTATTTTTAGCATGTTTTCCCCTGCAGACCTGTGTATGTGATTTGCAAACGCTATTAGTGGTAATTTCATATTTTATTTTCTCACAAATAGATACCTGGCCATTTAGAATCCCCTAGAAGTCCATTTATTTAGTAACCATTTTTCATTAACACGGAAGTTACAACTTCCCATGACATTTCAGTGAGGGGGGGTGTTGGGTTTTGGGGGCTGTCTAAGCAAAGTACCTTTCAATATATTGCGAGATGCATCGTACGTGTCAGCTATGTCAGGCCAGCAGTTCCCTTTGCAGCCTCACCAAAAGCTAGACAGAATTTGCAAAATATTAAAAACCATGTTGGTTCGCTTTAATTAAATCATTATCCTGTACTTCTAAACTGACTGAACTTACTACTAGCTTTTCTATTGCTTTGCTCAAAAGTTGTGTCAAGATTACCAGACGTATCATTATTCTTACTGCTTTTCCCTTACATTCCCTTCCAATTTCCCCCTTGAGTATTCCTGCAGTTTTTACTGGGCGTTTTTTCCCAGTATTGTTTTTTAAAACAAAAGTAAGCAGTACCTGCACAAACTTGTCTCCTCTCCCCCGTCCTTGTTTGCACCTGGTTCTTTATCCTCTGCTGTGTCGTTTCACATGTCCTGTCAGTCAGTCATGACTTCTTCCATAGCATTCCCCTCCTTTTACTTTGCATCTGTTCTCTGGTTTGTATTTCTTTGCCTTCAAAAGTGCTTTTTTATCCCTGTCTTTGAAAACTCCACCTTTAACTGGCTTCCTCAGTCTCTTTTAAAGCTTTTATTCTCTTCCGTGGCTCATCCCACCTCCCATTTAATTGTGATATATTTCCTCCTGGAAGTCCCACCTCCCACTTAACCACTTCAAAATAAAGCTTTTGAAGTACTTTCTCCTTCAACTGTACCTAGCCCCTGACAGCTGGCCTCCACCTCCTGGACTCAAACTGTTAAGACAACCCCCTATGCTGATACTTGGCTGCAGTCTTACAGACCTGTCTTGCACATTGAATTATTTTTCCTTTTGGCTTTCTCAGAGACCAGGTTGTTATCTGGAATCTTACATTATGAAAGTGCTACATCACAAACCAAACTGCCTTCTCCTGTTTCTGCTTTGTGGCTTTCATGTTGCTTGCTCTCCCTGGAATGCCTCCCGTGCTCATTAGTCTCCTTAAAACACATTAATTCCAATAAATTTGAGCCTATTTCCCACAAGCTCTCTACGTGTGTCTCCGCATCTGCCGTTTCCTCTTTTGTTATTGTCTTGGTTTTAGCTGGGACCGGGTTAGCTCTTCTTTTTAGCAGCTAGAAGAGCTTCGTGTTTTGGTTTTACTCAGAGGCTCGCTCTGAGAAGAATGCTGATAGCAAGTTGATGTTTGTGGTTGGACGTGAGACTCCAAGGACTTCTCAGTGTGCCGGAGTGCAGAAGCACGGCGGGATAAGGGGGGAGCATAGTTGGGACAAGGGGGACACGATTCCCCTTGTGATTTGTGGTGGAACTTAAGATTGAGGCCAAACTGCCCAATTAGTATTCCATATCATGCAGCGTCATGCCCAGTATAAAAGTGAGGGTCAGCTGGAAAGACGGGCTTTTGCGCCTTGGCTCTTTCGCCGCT